AATAAATTCCACCAGCTTTGAGTTTCTGGGATCACTGGGCTCTGAGCTTCAAAAGTGCACAGCTGAGTGCGGGGCTGCTCTTAGAACTCGATGTCTGTGCTCTCAGTAACAGCACCATTTCACCCGAGGCCACTGTGACAGGTGTGCTGCCCTGGGAATGGAGTGGGACAGTGGCTTTCTGACCTTTTGTGATGGAGAGCTATAGAAAGAAGTACATTTTACACTGGGTTCAGTGCACAAGTGAGTATGAAAACAAACACACAAAATAAACATTTCATAAAACATTACTTAGCCCTTACTAAGAACAATGCTTTCCGACATTTTAAAAAGGATACAAATATTTTAAAAGGATAGATATTCCCAGCCTACTAGTGAGGTTGGGACAAGCAACACTAGACTAGAAGAAAAGATTATCCATTTTTATCCCACTACCTTCCGAGGATGTGCACTATACAAAGAAAGTCTGCCCAGTGCCATCTACTGTACCCTCTGGATATTGCAAGTGCCTTTTTTTTTCCCTGGAAGATTTTTTTTTTTTTTAAGGATAAGATTAAATCAGAGAATTCTCCACATCAGTATGTGTTTCTTCCCTCAAAGCAGAAACAGCTCTGAATCATTTTAAGGAGTTTAGATGAATAACTAACACACAAAGCCAGTTCTGAATTCTGACTTCATATCCAAGCCAGAGAATATCCATATGACTGGAGCCTCCGGAGAAAAACTGACCTTGTAATTGGTGGTTTCCAGTGAGTGACAAATTTAAACTCAAAACATTCTAGACTAGCACTTCATGAATAGCTGCTGTAGTCTACCAAATACTATAAACAGGGAATCATTGCTCTATAATCCCTTGTCAAACGTGTGTGTGTGTGTATTTTTTTTTACTAAAGCTAATATGGGTATTTACTAAATGGGTATTATGAGTATACTTTTTACTATTCTTGTTACTTGTGAAGGCTAAAGAGTTTCCATTTTAACAAGCCATCATAGCTTATGGAATTTAATTTTTATATTCAATAGAAGTGAATTTTCTCTACCAGTTTGCCCAGGAAGTTGCAGCTTTGCATTTATTTCTGGCTGAAATATGCTTTTGATAGAAACACATTTGGAAGAAACTTTGTAATTTCTTCACAGTCTGCTTAACTGGTCATAAAAGAGCATATGCTCATCCAGTAAAGCCAAGGAAATAGACGTATTTTACCCTTGGCTTGTAACTGAGACATGTCTAGCAACTTGAACTTCCCTAAGATATTTTATATGTGAATATAAAATTAGAGTGGGGAAAATGGAAAGGCTTGTAACAGTCTTAGTCCCAGCTAAACAGGTGGAATTTTTGTGAGATGTCTTCAATTTAAAAGTGAAGAGGACAATCAAATTGTTGAAGTCTAAGGGTATTTTTTACTCTATGAATATAACAATTATTTTTGTTCCCTAAGTTGTTTGACATTATCCATTTTCAGGATCCATAAGTGAGGACATGGGTCAACGATGCAGAGAGAAATTATAGTGAAATGCTGTTTTTCTGTAATAACTATCACAAAAATTAAAAAGGATCACACTTAGGCTACTCCTGCTTTATCAATCATGTGTAAGTTGTTATTAATTACTCAGAGGTGCCAGAGGAGGTTCATTCTATTCGTTTCCCACTGCTATTTTGAGGAGGGCTAATTTTTTATAAAAAATTAATTATTAATATGATTAATAGTTCAACAACAAAGTCAAGAAGGTGGGTGTAAACCAATAGCTAATGGTGTTAATAACAAACAGCTAAGAGAGATTCAAAGTAACCAACTTGCTCTAAAACTACCAAGTGTCAGAACAGGGCCTCCGTTCTCTCACGGGTCTCTTCTTGTCTTGAGACATTTTCTGGTCTCACTGACATGATCTGTGAGTCAGAAATGTGATTTTTTTTTTAAGTACGTGCAGAACACCCCTCCTGGGGGAATGCAAGGGAATGCCTTATTAGGCAGTTGGAAAGCAATCATTCATAAAAATATGTTAAGAAATAGTATTTGTCTCCCACTGACTATCTGGCACCATAGCAACTTCTTTCTTTTCGGTTTATTTATGAAACAACCGTCAAATTAAAATACCAAATAGCTTTAACCATTAGCATTTCACCTTATACCTGACAACTGCATCACTTTAAATATCTGCTTGGAAGTTCAGCTCACTTATACACACTTGGGATTTACCTGCTTGCTATTATGCATGTACAGGAAAATATCAGTCATATGTGCCCTCTGACACTCTGAAGTGACAAGTTGTGGCTGTGACAGATCCTTGTCAGTTAATCATCAATCGTCACTTGATAAGTGTTCAGTCTTCCCTGAGAATGGACAGTCGTCTGTCAGCTCCATTCACTACCTACCCAGGAGACATTAGAGTTGTTTTTTATCCCATAAAGCCAAGTCAAAAACTCTAGGTTGTTCAGTGCCTACAAGTTATTGAGACAAAGGTGTGTCAATCAGGCAGCGGCAGCCCTGAGCACACCAGTGTTGTGGTACTGGGACCACTGGAAGAAGCACAGAGCAGGGCTGGGCAGTGCTTCCCCCAGGGGCTGGTATGTTAAAAGACAATGTGGCCCAGCCAGTGAGGCTCAGTGGATTGCCACCCCATGCACTAAGGGGTCTCAGGTTCAATTCCCGGTCAGGGCACATACTGTAGGCTCAATCCCCCGTGTGGGGCATGCAGAAGGCAGCCAATCGATGTTTCTCTTTCACATCGATGTTTCCATCTCTCCCTCCCTCCCTTCCTCTTTCTCTAAAAAATCAATTAAAAAATATATTTAAAAAAAAGATGAAGATGGGTGAAAACAGGGTGACAAAATTAAGGCTTATTCTTAATGTTTACATTTAATAAAGTAATGCATTTAACCAAAACAGTGCAGCAATATGATTGCATCTTCACAAAAATAATTACAAGATTTATTAAAATATTAATTTGTGCTGTAATTGTGTATATGTCTAAGATTATTTGGAGATATCTTCAAATTTCCAAGTTTGAGACCTTTTTTTTCTATCTTATCTCTTCTTCTCCTCTCCTCTTGAGGACACACACACAATTGTATATCTGAGATTTTCTGCCCTAGAAGAATCCACATTTGGTTAGGAAGAAAACACCAGCACAGAGAAACAACAGAAACACATACAACAGAATAAAACCAAGGTCTTGAATTGTAGAGCTGTATATCCTAAAATACAGAGTAGCTAAAATACACAATTAGCCAATAGCACATACCAATTATGCAAATCGGGAGAATAAGGGGAAACAAGGAAAGGGCAGTTGAACAGCATCCTGTAATCATGGTAGACACTAAAACCTAAGGTGAGATTTGTCAACAGGGAAAGTGAGTCAACTTTCAATCTGAAAACCATCTTCACCAGCTGGCTTCCTATAGTGGTTTGGACCCTCCCTTCTTCACTCCAATCCACCAGGAGTCTAACAGACTCCTGAACAGCTCTGTCCTGAAAAACTAAAGGGAGGGCCCCATGGCCAGCACCCCACAGCCCATGTTACCACCTCTCACTGCATCCCCAGGTGCGCCCAGACCAGGGTGTCTCCACTCCACCCGGCTTGGCCTTGACATTTCTAACCAGTCAATCCGCATTATCTCTGCATGGGTGAGCAGGGCTGAGCAGCTGTGGGGCTTAGTCTCCTCATGAACAGATACACCCTTAAAGACTAATCCTTAGAGCTGGGAGGTGGGTTGGTACCTTGGGGACAAGGCTTCTGTGCACTAGTACAAGACCTGCTCATATGGACCCATGGCCATGGATGCCAGTTTTACAAAGAAAAGTCAAACCCTCAGGTTCACGGTGGTGATGACGGAAATTCATTTTTGAGGCCAGATCTGCCCCATCAGGTTGAATCATCATCATCTTTGTTTAACAAGGAGTGGGACCCAAGTGAAGGCCAGCGTAAGAGAGAGCAGGCTGTGCCTTCGCTGACTGCTCTACACAGAAACAGGGTACCTCCAAGGCCAGGCCCAATGTCCCCAACGTGGCCTGCTCTTAGCAATTTCGGTTCTTTATCCACCTGCTCTATGAATATCCACTCCCTGTCTCCTGCATCCTAAGATGTCAAAATACCCAACCAGATGTGAACCATGACACCTCATACTCCGAGGTCAGGCTTGCGGAGAAGAACCGAGCTGCCTGGACATCTTCTCCCGGAGCCTGGCACTGGGCCCTGTAGTGGGGCGTGTGCAGGGTCAGGAAGGTCGTAGGCTCCATTCGTCCCTTCCTTTCCTTTCCCAATAATCTGGTCCTCCCCCACCCCAAATTGAATCACTTCCTTTCGATTTCTCAACTGTGGAAGGAGGAAGAGGGCAGGGCGCAGGTGGAGCTGCTCTGTGGGGCACTGAGGGCTGATCGTGCTTCTCCAGGGCCCTTGGCAAAGCGGGTTCGCCCCCCGCTCGCCTGCCCCGACCTCCCACCCTGGGCATATGGTTGAAAGTGACCGAATGAAATGGGGAATTCAGGGAGGCGGTTGTTGAGCTCTCCTGCGAGGTTTTGTGGGGAGAAAGAAGCAGAGAGTTGGCCAAAGCTGGTGACGCTCCCTCCTCGCCCCCTGTTCCCCCAAAGTCCCAAGAGGGAACCCACCCCGGGCAACTTCATCACCGGACCCTCGGTGGCCTGAACTTAAATCTTCACATGTGAATGCCTGTTGCTCTAATAATTATTTTTTAAAATTAAAACCGAGCTTCAAATACAATAGTACTACTGAAAGAGACCCAGTAGAAATAACAGTAACAGCAATAAGTATCCTTTGACCCCACCCCCAAACCCGGAGCCGAAGCCTGGAGCGCCAGGGGGCCGGGAGGCGAGGAGCCGCGCCCTCCGGGACTTTCATCCGAGCCCGGGCGGGAGGCGGGGTGAGCGCGCGGTTAAAAGGCGCCGCCGGAGCCGCAGGTGCCGCAGACCCGAGGTGCCGCGCTCCGCTCCCGGGACCCAGCGAGGCGGCGGCGCCCTGCGCGCAGCGAGCGGAGGCAGCCCGGCCGGACCACTCGGGACCACGCGGGACCACCCAGGCCCCGCCCAAGACCCACGGGAGCGCCCCCGCCGCCACCGAAGCCCTCGAGCGCTCCCTCGGCCGCTGGTGAGCCAGCCCCCGCCGCGCGTCCCTGGTCACAGCCGGGAGGCCGGCGCCGGACTCGGCGTCTCGGGACAGCGGGAGCTGTGGGACCCCGCGGGAGAAGTGATCCGGCCCCGGGACGGGACCCGGGACGGCAGGAGCTGTGGGACCCGGGGAGGGAGTACAAAGGACCAGCTCGGACTGGGGACGTGGGACGTCCGGGGACTGTGGCACTCGGCGGGGGAAGGTCCCGGGACACCGGCACCATGGGACCCAGAGGGGGAGGGGACCCGGCGCGGAGAAGGGACCCGGGGCGGCGGGTGCTTTGGGGATCCAGATCGGATCCCCCGGGTGGACCCCGCGAGCACTGAGGCCGCTGCACGGTCCTGGTCCCAAGCAGTCGCGACTACGGACCTGGGGCGGCAGGCAGGTGTCCAGAGAGACTTTGTGGAGAGGGAATTCCTTCCACCTAGTTCCGAAATTGGAGTCGGGCCATTGCGAGGAGGGGACGTGGCGACACCAGGGCGGTGACCAATCGGGACCTGCGTGCTAGAGAGGAGGGGGCCCGGGACAGGTAGCCCAAAGCGCGATTGATGATCGTTGATAATGTTCCTCTGGGAAGGGCTAACCTGCCGCCACCAGGAGTGTTTAATTGGCCAACGGCTCTGCTTAGCTGGCTTCCGTTTGTTAAGCAGGAGTCCTGCCTGGAGGAGGTGACCTTTGCAAAGTGGGCACTTGGGTCCGGTGTGCGGTGAAGAGCCAGGACTCTCCGACCTGCCCAGTGAGCAGGACACCGCAGCCCAAACCTGAGACATGGGTTTCCTCTTTTCTTTTTCCCCCCGGAACAATCCAAGAGCCTTGTTTCCAGGTGGCATTTTCCAGATGGAAGGTTGCCTGCGGCCGAACGTTCCTTAGGGCAGCTGCATAAGCCCTCGGCTCCAGATAGGTGGGGGATATAAGCCTAACCAGTGTGTCCCCAGCCTCTGAAGTTGGACGACTCTGGTCATTTATTTGGGACTCTCTCTCAGATGTGCGGAGACAGCCATTGCCCTACTTGCCCTTTGAGTCAGTTTCAAAATTAGGTGATAAGTCAGCCACAGTTAGACACCTGTGAGAGGGAGGGCCTTTCCGTGGAGGCAGCTGGTCAGATCTGCCAGGAAAAAAGGAGGAATTGAGAAGTAGTTATAGGCAAAGAATTGCTTTTGCTTTTTCTGGAACCTGTGCCTTCCTTAAAGAACAGAACCCTCCTTTTTCAGAGCTCCAAACAATGTCCAGGTGGTGTGGGCAGGCAGGAGCCCGCCTGTGACACCACAGCCAGGTCAGGAGGGGTAGGACAGCAGCTCTCCAGTGCTTTCCTCCTGCTGGACTGGTCCATCTTGACCTGTTACCCTATCCTACTTGTGGGTTACATTTTAATGTGCTCCTTTTCCTGAAAGGATCTACAAAGAGGCCGTTGCAGCTACAACGGTGGTATAGGACTCACTGTAGTTTTCTCGGCTGATGGTGGTTGGACTGGTTTATAGAGAAGTGTGGGGTCCGTGCTTGGTACTGTAGAAGAGGACAAAGACATAAGCCCCCAACCACCCCCCTATTTTTAGCCAGATGTACCACGGAGAGCTTATTTCTATAAGTGTCCTGTTCCCACTTAGTAAGTGCCCGTGAAGAACTGGACTAATTCCATAAAATAGTTTGGTTAGACAATGAATTTTGGTTTTGCTATTGGTTACACTATGGAAACTTCAGCAGGACGCCCCTAGGAGGACCTCCTGTCTGTATTTAAAAGGTCAGGGCTGAACCACTGTTTTTTGCAGTGATGTTTGTCTTTTTCAAGCTAAGGAAGGCTAAATGTTTCTGGAATACACTTCAATCTTATGCAACTTTTGTGTACATGACTGGTCTCTATGTCTCTCTGATCTGACCAAGGTGGCATTGAATGGCTTCAGCCAGACCTTGGTAACCCACCTGAGATGAGGCTAAGTGGTGAGCCTGCGTAGGAAGTCCATGGGGAAACAGGACCCAACTTGCTCAAAATGAGGAGAGCATTATGCTTTTAAGTAAGAGAAGAAGGAGGGTTCACTGCCAGCGTAGAAGGGGTGGAAAACAGACTGCTCCTCAGGGTTGTGGGGAAGTGGAATCTTGTCAGAAGAGGGGCTGATTGAGACAGATGAGGTGTTAGCTATGAATAAATGAAGACAGTTCATACCCCAGGATGAAGAGAAAGCAGATTGCTCAGTAGGCTTCAAGTCCCTTTTCATTAAGATGTACAGCCCTGGTGGTTAGAGCATCGGCCCACGGACCAGAGAGTCCCAGGTTCGGTTCCCGCTAAGGGCGGTTTGTCCCCCACCCTGGTTGGGGTCGTGTGGGTGGCAACCAGTCAATGTGTCTCTCTCTCTCTCTTCCTCCCTCTCTCTCTCCTGCTCTATCTGAAGATTAATGTAAAAAAAAAAAAAAAAAAAAAAAAAGTCCTCAGATGAGGATAAAAAAAAAAAAGAGATGTACATACCCCAGCAAGCTTTGATTCTGAACTTCAGTATTCAACACAGTGATGTCACCCTGTAGGGCATCACTGGGAATCACTGGGTTAAATTTTCTGTCATTTTTTCATCATGTGCCTCTTTAGAAACACTTGTAGATTAAAACCATAGCCCACAATAAAAATGCACAGTTGCAACAACACTTACCAAAACAGATAGACATCAGTTCAGCATGACGGTGAGAACCACCAGTCCATACACAAAACATTCGCCAAAAAAATGCACGTAGTGTCGTTTCTCCATGGGCAGAAAGTTTCCAACCTGCTCCTTTTCATGTAGAAGAAGGAAGTGAGGCCCTTTGTGAAATGTTAACATACGGTGCCTTGAATGGCAACTTTATCATTGGTAACAAACATTTCACTGCTACATCCCAAGTCCATGACAATTCATTGAAATGGTTTAAGAAAAACGGCTCAGCAGGGAGACAGGGCCTGTCGACCTTTACAGCAAGGTTGGCTGGGCTGGTCTCAGGCCCAGTTGAATTGTGCACTTCCAGAGCCCAGGGAGTGTCTGTGGGGGATCAATCAGCACTAATTATACCTCTAAGTTAGGAGCACTTTTGCTTGTGGTTTGTACCCCCCCCCCATTTTTATTATGTGCTAAATATTGGGTGAATTACTCAGGTGAATAAGCATAAGCTTCTCTTTATTGGAAAACACACAAACACAGGTTCAAGGTGGTTTGGGAATTATTCTTTTACTCCTATGGCAAACTAAGTGAGTTTGGTTTATACCTTTTGGGCGAGGTTCAGTAAGAGTTGCTGTTTGCTCAGGAAGAGATTTAAGGGTGCTTACTTACCCAGAGAACTCTCCCAGATTCTGTCCTGATGACTCACTCCTCTGTTGTGTTCATTTTGTCTTTTTCAGTTCAAACCAGCCGGAGAGGATGGATTGGGGCACATTGCAGACTATTCTGGGGGGTGTCAATAAACACTCCACCAGTATTGGAAAAATCTGGCTGACCGTCCTTTTCATTTTTCGAATCATGATCCTGGTTGTAGCTGCAAAGGAAGTGTGGGGAGATGAGCAGGCTGACTTTGTCTGCAACACTCTGCAGCCTGGGTGCAAAAACGTGTGCTATGACCACTTCTTCCCCATCTCGCACATCCGGCTCTGGGCCCTTCAGCTGATCTTCGTGTCCACGCCAGCTCTCTTGGTGGCCATGCACGTGGCCTACCACAGGCATGAGAAGAAAAGGAAGTTCATTAAGGGAGAGATAAAGAGTGAATATAAAGACATCGAAGAGATCAAAAACCAGAAGGTCCGAATTGAAGGGTCCCTGTGGTGGACCTACACCAGCAGCATCTTCTTCCGGGTCATCTTCGAAGCTGTCTTCATGTATGTCTTCTACATCATGTATAATGGGTTCTCCATGCAGCGTTTGGTGAAATGTAACGCCTGGCCTTGTCCCAACACAGTGGACTGCTTTGTTTCCAGGCCCACGGAGAAGACTGTCTTCACAGTGTTCATGATCGCAGTGTCTGGAATTTGCATATTGCTAAATGTCACTGAATTGTGTTATTTGCTAGTCAGATATTGTTCTAAAAAGTCAAAAAAACCAGTTTAACACATTACCTAGCTATTAGATAAAAGATAGAAAAGGATGAGGCAACCTGTACTTAGTTGTCAAAGTCAAGTCACCAGCATTTTCCAAGGTCAAGATTTGTATCTAAAGCGCATCCATTTGAAACTCCTGCTGCTCTCACGTAAGCTCCAAGGCCTCTGCTGGCACTCGCTCGGCCCGAGAGCAAGGGCGCGCTCGAGGCCGCTACTGGCTTTCACTCACATTACTTCCAGTGAAACCCCGTGCTGGCAGGGGTTATTGGTGTGAGGTAATTTCATATTTTGAAGAAAGAATATCGACATTTGTTTCTATTTCTTTGAGGAAAAGAGAGAAACGCCAGGTCCTAAAGAGTCTGCTGAGAAGGGTTGGTTACTCCTCTTGGGGTTCCTTTTGCCATTTTCCCCTGAGTTAAAGGTAAACACAGAGAATCTTGGTTCTTTTATTGGCGTTGGAAGTTCTGGTCTTTAATGATGGACATCATCGATGCTTCAAACTCTGTCATACTTTTTAAAAGTGAACACTTGAAAATATATTCTTTTGATCTACAAGACATTCTGAAAACCATTCAACATTCCTCCTATTTCGAAGGCTCAGATAGTGATACGTAAATGGTGTGTAATTAGATACTATCATGGAAATTAAAATGTGGCCTCTCAGTTATGAATAATTTGCAGGGCCACGGCATTAATTGGTACGTAGTCCACAAAAGCATTATAACTTCTCTCACATGGAACAAACTAGAAGTTCTTAGTGATGGCTTGATAGTCAGTGGCCTCATTTCACAACTTTAGGTGTAATTTTTCAGGGGAAATATAGACAATGTATCACCAACTCACACCGACTATAGGCTGGCTCAAGACACCCTATTTCAATGTTTGCCTTTTCCATAACTGGCAAAGAGTAGGAACACTGATTTAAAGCAGTTGTTTGGGACTATTTTGTTGCCACAGTGCAAAGCAAAACGGGGGCAAGGGGTAGTTACTATTTTTAAATAACAGATGGAAAGACTAGACTAAATTCTGGTGATTAAAAAATGAGTTTCGTCTATTTCAAAAGTTCGTTTGCTTTCCTTTTCAGCTTCCAATATTTTAAAGTGAGATTAGAATTAATAGACATTTTTAAAAATGGACACTACGGCTTAGATAAATATTTAGCAGTTCTATAGGCCACATTGAACCTTAATATTATTATCCTGGTGCTTGACTTGGTTTCCAAAAAATTGTACTCAACATTCTTCAAGGAGGGTAAACATTTTTCTTTTGCCAAGAATAGCATTGTAAAATATTTTGTAATAATAAATAATAGCTTTAAGTAATGCTTTTAACTAAAATAATTTTGTAATATCTCAAATGGCATTTAAAATATTAAAATAGAAACTCATATAATAGTTATTTAAAATTTTATTACAGTTTTTATAGAATAGCACATTTAAATGTCATCTATAGCCAATTTTGTATAAAGAGTTTCATATTTTTAAAAAAATTTTTGTTAACGGCCGGTGTGGCTCAGTGGTTGAGTGTCGACCCATGCACCAAGAGGTCGCTGGTTCGATTCCTGGTCAGGGCATATGCCCAGGTTGTGGGCCAAATCCTCAGTGGGGGGCATGCAGGAGGCAACCAGTCAATGTTCTCTCTCATCGATGTTTCTATCTCTCTCTCTACAAAAAATTAATAAAGAAAAAATTTTTTAAAAATTTGTGTTAATTGTCACCCAAGGATATTTTTTCCATTGATTTTTAGATAGAGTGGAAGGAAGCGAGGGGAAGAGAGAGAGAAAAAATCATGGTTGATCGGCCTCCCACATGCACCCCAAAGAGGGCCACAGATCAAACCTGCAACCCAGGTACGTGTCCTTGACCGGGAATTGAACCCAAGACACTTTGGTCCTTGGGCCAACACTCTAGCCACTGAGCCACACTGGCCAGGGCAAGGAGTTTCATATTTTAAGCATCATGACACCAAAAGGGTAGATTTCTAGGTGGCTGTTCAGCATCCTCGGATCTTCTGCCCAGTTACAGAAAAGCTTTTGTCACCAGAAAGCTTGGCAGGGATGGGAGAAAGAAAGATTATTTGTGTCCAACCCCATACTGATCTCAACAGGTTTTTTTTGTTGTTGTTATTAATCCTCATGCGAGCATATTTTTTCCATTGCTTTTTAGAGAGAGTGGAAAGGAGGGAGGAATGGGGTGGAGAGAGAGAGAAAAAAAACATTGATGTGAGAGAGACACATCGATTGGTTTCTTCCCTCAGGCGCTCCGACCAGGGCCAGGGATTGAACCTGCAACCCAGGTACTTGCCCTAGACCAGGAATCGAACCTGAGGCACTTTGGTGCAAGATCTGATGATCTAACCACTGGGAACACCAGCCAGGGTCCAAAAGGTTTTTGACAAACACACGCACAGTGTGGTGTGCAGATTGGGTTTGTAGCTTGGAGGATGCTGGGCTAGGTTCACCTGACCAATGTGGATCCTAAAATCATGGAAGTTGACACTTTGAAATGATATTCATGGTGAAGGTTGGCTGGGGCATGAGAAAAAGCCTATCAGGTGACTTTTCTGGAGGATTGTCCTTCTGTGTATTTGTATGTAATTGAAGCTGGTCTTAGAAACTGCTTTTACTCCTCGGTGCCCACGTCCATGGGAAGTAAGCCCGGCAGCTGTCTGTGTGGTGTCCTCGGGCACTCTCCCTGAGACAGCAGAAGCGGCGCCAGTCCTGTCCGCAGTCCGAGCACTTCGAGGCGTTTATAAATGAGTATTTCTGTGGAAAGCCACACACTTTTTAAGAGAATTTAAAAGGAGCAAAACCAGCCTACTTTCCTCCAGCTGACAGGTGGTAGGAAGTAGTCCCTGGCCGCCCAAGGGCCTGCACACAGCCTGTTAAACAGCTCATGGTTTTTAAACAGGTGTGCTCACTCTTACAAGCCATGCAGATTATTACTGTCAAGGTCTTAAAGACGGTCAAATAATTATAGTCGACTTCTGACCACTTTTAAGGACTTAGAAAGAGATCTGGCCACAGGCCTAAAAATTAGAGTTTGAACTCTGAAAATGGTAATCCTGAATACATATTTCAAATCAGTAAAAAGAAAAAGCTCTGTTGTTTGTTCTGTAAGATTCCACCAAAGGCCTCTGTGTCCAGTTAGCTGTGTCAAGCCTGGGGCGTCATGCAGGCTGGCCCTCCGCAGGCCTCCAGCACAGCTGAGCATTGTGAGTTTAGGACATGGGTATCGACCGCCTCACTGCCGATTCTGTCTTGTACAAGGTGTATTAATAAACTGGGATTCGTGGTCTCAAAAACTCTTTTGTACATCACAATTGTTATGAGTGGATCAGGGACAACTCAGGAGGGCAGATGTATTCTCCAGGGTGTCCTGGGCTGAGTTGCCAGTTATTAATATCACTGACCTACTGGTCAACCACAGAGCAGCAGGCACCGTGCGAGTGGGTAGACAGCAGCTCCCTCATTTCTCCAGACTTCAGTTTCCTTACCAAACACATCCCAAGGTTAATAGCAATCAGATAAGATAATTTATGCAAAAATTCTCTACATAAAATATTGTTAAGTAAAAAATTATTGTCATCTCTTTTCCATTAGGGAGATCCCAAGCTGGAAAGATGACGGATGGCAGTTAAGTAAGAATGACTCAAGCAAAGCTTGAGAAACTGGAAGCTTGAAAAAATGCACACTTACACCAAGCCTGAAACAAGAGGGGAGAAGAGACAGCTCCATAGATGGGAGAGGAATGGCTGAGCACCCGTGTAACAGCCCATAAAGCTCAGGTGGTAACAGCTATGTCACTCTGAAATTAGAGAAAAATCAACAGTGTACTACAGAAAGTTTTGGTTCACCTAGTTAGGGTCTCTAAATACCTTCCATCACGGGTACCAAATACTTTCCCCACAACCCTCCAGATAGAACTACTCCTAAGGAGTGGACCAGGGAGGTGAGCTTGGGCAGAGAGCATCATACTCAAGGACAAATTGTGGATGTTGCCATCTCACGAAGGATGTGGACTGGACTTCTAGAATTTCCCTAGTGCATTTCATTCCTGCAGCTTGTAGCCGGTGCCACAGGGACTCCCCGTCTTCCCAGTGCTGATGGGGTTAAGGAGGTCATCCCTAATTGTGAAATGCTATTCACTCCATTCCCACACAGCTTTAATTACTCATTTACTCAACCAATATTGATGAGTACCATTGAATGCCAGTAGCTATTAGGCACTGGGACCATGACAAAGCAAAACCTCAGTCTTCATGTTGAAGGAGGGAAACTATACACGCATCCCTGTAGGTCATATATTCTGCAGGTGTGCAATGGAGAAAAATAAACCAGCAGAAGGGAACTAGGACTTGCCAGGGGCAGTGAAAATTGCTATCTAGTATTGGGTGTTCAGGAAGGGCCTCTCTGCCAAGAGTCCAGAAGGAAATGGGGAAGCAGACCAAATGGTGTCTTAGAGAAAGTTGTCCAGTGAGAGAGAAGGGCCGCACACCAGGGTCAAGGGGACAGCAAGAGGAACGAAGCTAAAGAGAGGCAGGCAGTGCGGACGGACTCGACAGCTATGCTGACATGTCCAGCACCTGTTCTGCTTTCTGCTGGACCCAAGACCGTCCGTTTTCCACTTAGACCCTTAAATAGCTGGGAAAGGATCCAAGTTCTGACCCAGCATTAATGCTAACGTAGTCTGGGCTTGAGTTAGCTAACAGCCTCATCACCTCCTTCTTTTCAACTAAAAGGCCACCAATGTGATTACGCAATAATAGAATTGATATATAAACACATTTGCACTGAAAAGTAAACACAGAAACATGTAAAGTCAAAAGTGGAAGTCCCATTTCTTGGCTCTATTCCAAAATATCAGCATGAACATCCTGGTGTCTATCCTTCCAGTCTTTTCTATGCCGTCACAGGTACTTATACACATATGCACACTCACACAGAACTATTTCACATAGTTTTATTCTGTGGTAGTTTCTCATTTAGCAGTATGCCTTGGAGATCTTTCCCGGTCTGTATGTGTAGCTCTAACTTGCTCTTTTTAGCAGATGTACAGTGTTCCATAGAATGATCCGTAAACCACATAACTATCTCCTTGTTAGTGAACAGTCACATTGTCTCTAATTTTTAGAGTTCTCCCCTCCCCTTCTCTTCCTATCAAACCAGATTTTCCCTTTGTCCTGCATGTCACATGACATTTTCCAACCTAATTCAGGGCTTTATGTTTCCCTGTGGAATTTCAGTGCTGATTCCGACTCATCTGTCTGGCCCACCCAGATCTTTCTGTGCCCCATATTCAGTCCATTAGCAATTCCTTCCAACTTCATGTCATCTTTCAATTAAAATAGCCTGCTTTCTCTATAGTTGCTGAAGCCAATAAAAATATTGATGATGGAATGTCACCAAGAATTGCCTTTGAGCTTAATATCATGCATTTACCAACATGATGTGAGGTGGAGTTATGATGATAAATGCACTTTGCTGCATTTGGTTCACAAGTTTTTATTACAGGCCTGGAGTCCAGACTAGAACCTGCCATGATGGGGAGCCACTTACTGCTGCCACCTGCTGTCAGCAACAATCACTACAGGGCTCTGCCTCCTCCCCAGCCCCTGGGGCTCCCTCAGGATGGCAGGGCCCTGCCAGCCCCAGCCTAGGCCTTCTTAGGACCCTCCTGCACCCGCACAGGCACACCCTCCCCTCTGTGAAACCTCACCACTCATTGCTCCAGAGTTTATGCTTCCAATTTGTAGCTCTCTAGCCATTGCTGCTTTGTTAGGGTAACCATGAAAATGAAAAACAAACACACATAAACATACACTACTTCCTCTCATAAGTGGTGTAATGAGCAACATTAGCAAACTGCTATAATCTCATGGTTACAGTGAGTGACTTGTCACCAGGTTCTTAGGTAGGTTCTTCCCTGCATTTCTATAAGTTCTCTGACACCTGGGTTTTGGAGTCTCACCACCTAGGCCTGTAAACTCCACAGTCCGGTGATTTCTTGGTCATCATTCATCTGTGGGGGATCACTTATTTTAAAAAGTATTTAGAATCAACATCTCATTATTAACGCAGCAGCTCTTTAAAGATTCAGTGTTATTTGGCTTTACTTCTCTTATATTGTCAGGGGGAAGGGGGAGATAACCTAACATATTTCATTCAAATTTTTCAGGCTCCATATTAATTGTGAGATCTACTTTTCCAAACCAACAATATAGGTTTATATTTTAAATCACAATAACTCAAGAAAGCATGGGTTTTCCC